CTGGACCATCCGCTCCTAGGTCCGATAACCCGTTTTCCGCTGAGAATGGAGGTGGTGAGGCTGCGAATTCGAGACCTAGACACAGACACAGCCTCTCCGTTGATGGGTCTTCGACATTGGAATCAATCGAAGCCAAGAAAGCTATGGCTCCTGATAAACTCGCTGAGCTTTGGGTCGTTGATCCCAAAAGAGCTAAAAGGTTTCATCTTTCACCTCAAAAAAGTCGAGACTTTTTAGTGTTTTGTCTCATAAAAGCACGATCTTGATGAAATCTAGTTCCTGTTTAGATCGTTAAAACAGTTTTAATGGTATTCGCGGGAAAAAAGGCGGTTTCTTTTATGACTTTTTGATGTTGATGTGATTGCATTTAGGTGTTGTTCTTTTGAGATCTTTTTTTTCTTTGATTATGATCTCGAATCTCTAACAATAACTGAATTTAACTGAAATTTGGTTTTGGTTAGCTTCTACACTATGCGGCTTTTCTAGGTCTTTTTTGGTTGAGAGAGACACCACGAGGGACCCATAAGTGTGCTTTTTGTGATTAGATCTCAAGTCGAATTTCTGTGGCAATGCGTCTCTTTCATGATGATGTGATGTCCCTTAGCGTTTTATTTTTTTTGTTTTGATTGGTCGGTTCAAGCTTGTCTGGTTAGAGATCCTGTCTTGTGATGGACTTCTTTGTATGGTTTGAATAAGTTTCCAAGTCTTTAACATTCAAACTTTTGAGATGATCCCCTTTTCACATTCCCTTTTAGTAGTCAACTGTTCGGAATTGAAAGTTTTAGTTTTTAAGTGTCTTTGGTTCAGAAAAGTTTGGGCATTAGCTTTTGTGTAGGATTTGATCTGTCTCGATAGGCGATTGATGTAATCTCGAAGATCCTTAATTGGGGCGAACCTCTGTAATGGTCACTATTAATTGCATGACGTGAATTACTTTTTGTAACAAAAAATGTCCGTATGTTGTTCTACGCTCTTCAACATGGACTGGAAACATTCAGCATGCTACAATTGGCTAATCCTGTTTCGTGTACTCTCTGCAGGATAATTGCTAATCGACAGTCTGCTGCTCGTTCGAAAGAGAGGAAGGCACGATATATCTTGGAGCTTGAGAGGAAAGTTCAGACTTTGCAAACTGAAGCTACTACCCTTTCAGCACAACTGTCTTTGTTCCAGGTTTCTTATCACTAACTTCGATATACTGCATTTGCAGTAACATTCTCTTCTTTGCACATTTTGCAGTTACTGTAATAGCACTCAGTTTCTCATCTACTGCCTGTTAATTTGCTTATCACAGAGAGACACAACTGGTTTGTCATCCGAGAATACAGAGCTCAAGCTTCGTTTACAGGTCATGGAACAACAAGCTAAGTTGCGAGATGGTATGTTAAACCGCCCCCTCCCTTTTTTATATGTTTGTTCAGGTTTTAAGGTCATTTATCGATGATACTTCCCTACGCAGCACTGAACGAGCAACTGAAAAAGGAAGTTGAGAGGCTGAAATTCGCCACGGGAGAAGTTTCACCCGCTGATGCTTATAACCTCGGAATGGGACACATGCAATACTCTCACCAGCAACCACAACAATCTTTCTTTCAACATCATCAGCAACAAACCGATGCTCAAAACCTGCAACAAATGACTCATCAGTTTCATCTCTTCCAGCCAAACAACAACCAAAACCCGAACATGACATCACCATCCTCTCGCCCAAACCCTCCCACCGCTCATCAGCTTATGCATCACGCTAATTCTAACACCTCGGCTCAGTCTCATTCCTTTTCTGAGGCAATGCATGAAGACCCTCTTGGCCGGTTACAGGGACTTGACATTAGCAGCTGTGGCAGAGGCTCAAACTTTGGTAGGTCTGACACCGTCAGTGAAAGCAGCAGCACAATGTGAGGCTAAACTTTTCCAGAATTCCGCTTTGTCGATAAACCTATTCTTTTGCTCTCCCTTGAAATCTTTAGCTAAAAAGGTAACATCTTCGTGACCGTCTGATTCATTTTTTTCCTTCTGTAAAACTGGTTTCCTTTTTGGGGGGTTTTGGGGTTTCAACTTAAGAGACCACAGGTGTTTTAACTTGTCTGATTTCTCTGTTTCCTTATTAATTTTGTTCTTCTGGGGGAGCTACCAAAGTTGAACCAGATATTATTTGTCTGTTTCTTTATGTATTCTTGCTTCCCTAGTTGGTTTTTCAATCATCCTGTAAATGATGGTTGGATTTGGATTTGGCTTTGCCTTGAACCAGACAAGAAATTGTTTCTGTTTTGCAGGTCTCTTACATCACTTTGTGTTATTTATTTCTTTCCAGCAAATTTAATTTGTCGCCTATTTATGTTTGTTGGCTATCTTCCAGTTCCATGTTACTTTTGCTTCAAGCTCAAGTTTCTCAAGACTTCCATCACTACAAGAAAACACGTCATAACTGACGAGCAAAACCGTTAGATATCCGTTAGAAACAGCCATTCCAACTGGATATCAACGTGCGAAAGCTGTCAGATCCGTCTCGTTGGAAAAACGCAATCCTTTGGTAATATGTCTGATTATTGAACGGATTACTGCCAATCGTATTTCCTCGAATATAACGACGGATTACTAACGCTTCACCATTGTCGGAATAACCAACGGCAAACCGACAGTAGAGTTTCTCAGAAAGCGACCAACGGACATCTCGACGGTTTAATTTCTGACGAAAAACCAATGAAATCAGTG